GATACGTAACAATATGGAGGTTTTACTCTGGTCAGTACGGTACTTGTACTGAGAAACAGGACTACATGTATGTAGATATGGCCGCTCGTGAAATTATTGTTCCTTTCAGGTCCAAAAGGCGGGTCTTCTACATCCTCCTCCCCCAATATTCCTCCCTGGTGATGCCCCTGAGTATGTGTTGTTGTTTATTTCTTTTCGTCAACTTTAGTTTATTGTAGTTCCCAGAAGAGTAGCTGATGATTTTATTCTAAGTATCATCCTGTTTCTCATATTTATAATAATAATCAATAATTTATAATAATAATTATTACAGCTAATAATCAAAGAAAAACAAAATCGATGGTAGACAGGTAAATTTTATTAGTTACTCTCTCTCTTCTGCAGATAGATAGATTCTTATCTTTGAAGCAAATTTCTAATAAAAAAACTGACTTTTTCTGTCTCGTAAGGAATTCCACTTACGAACACATTAATACTTCATATAATGATTAAAGAATTGTTGTTTCCTTTTCCTTATGACAGATGTCGCTGGTCTATGGATAAAAGATGCATGCATTTCTCTATTAGATGTACTGTTTCACATGGGAGGTAAGCCTCGCACAAATTTTCTGTACCACATAAAGGACGTTAGAGCTGACATGGAATATTGTACATTTGAGTCAATCTCTTGAACGCGAGCAGTAGAAACAAAAAAGATTGACGCGTGTTGGAAAGCTTAGTTGTTTACAGATTTAAAATGACGTAAAGATAAAAATAACACGTCTTCAATCATTTAGGGGCTGGTTAAGTCATTACGTAAGGGTTTAGTGGAGATGTTTTAAGTTAAGCGTAGGCTTCTTTCAAAGGCTGAATTCGACTTAAACTTTATTCGCAAGAGTTCTGCACTTTACATTTCAACAATAAATATTAACTTCGATGTCTACAAAAAAAAAAAATCATTCATTTTTCGTTCGTTTTGTCATAGTAAAAAAATCTCAAAGTTAGGTTGATAAATATATATCAAATACATCTTTTAACGTACTAAAAAGGGGCGTCAGACGTACATAATGGACTTAGAGAGACATAGAATACCGCTGTATTCAGAAGAAAAAGATTACAAGTATCCTATTAGAGCCAGATTAATGAACAATCTAACCAAGCTATAGTTGCCCCCTCCCCCGAAAAAATGAAAAGAAGTAGCCCTCCCTTCCCAAACAGTCAGCAAAATATTTTCTAGGAGTCAGTGACTATGACTGTTTTTCATAATTCATAATTTTCGTTTTCAGATCCCAGTTTCAAGTTATTATCTATAAACATACATATCAAATACACAGTTGTTCTATAAAAAAAGAAATATATTGTTTATGAATAAATACTTCATGCTGTTACTGTACTGTTTGTGTTTATCCGGTACATTTAACACGCAATTCCTATTTCTATACCTGTAATTTTATAGTACATAATATAACATGGTATTTTGGGCCACATGGGGCCTATTGGTCCATCTAGGCTGTTCCATCCTCAAAACTAAATTAAAATGAATAAAAAAAGTTAAACTTATCTCTTATCATTCATGTACTTATCAAGCTTTTTCTTAAACTCATTTAAATTTACTGCATCTAAAACATCTGAAGGCAACCCATTCCAAAGGCCCACCACCCTGTTATAAAAATAAAACTGTATTAGCTGAAGATGACTCCTATCTTGCCAATATTTATATTTGTGTCCCCTAGTCCTACTATTCTCATTGTTAAATATAAAGAAAGACGATACATCAACACTATCAATTCCATTTACAATCTTAAACACAATGAGATCCCCCCTAATTCTTCTTTTTTCAAGAGAAAACAATTTTAGAGATTTCAGCCTCTCGTTGTATGACAACCTCTCCATCCCAGGCACCATTCTAGTAACCCTTCTCTGAATCCTTTCCAACAATTCCTAAGTTAAGGAGCCCAAGACTGAACACAATATTCCAAATGTGGCCTAACCAGTAACCTGTACAATGAAAGTATAACCTCTTTAGACTTGTATTCAATATTTCTATAGAATCAACCTAAAATCCTATTTA